AAATATCGAATTAGTACAAATGACAAAGCCAAGTGGAATTTATAGTTGATTATAAAAATACAATGCTTGTAATATTTTTCGAATTAAGGGCCTCCTCAAAAACAAATCTCCTACGTCATCATGAGGTATTCGTTTCCTATTGTCTATAGAATTTCCAATTAACATCAAAGTAATTCCCACTCAAAATTTACGCTTTTGCTCGGCTTATTTCAAAGAATATTCAACTCTTTGACTTTTGGATGTTTCCTACGCTTTGTTCCAATTAACATGCCATAAAACTTTCGAGAATGTCGTTTAGAGCAGGTTCAAACCAATAAATAAAGGAGTCTGGATTTATCAGTTCTAGGATATTTTCATCAAACAGAACTAATCGGGAGTCAAACTGAGGCTCAGAAATTGATTTTAGATATTTTTCCCTTCCTCAAAGCCAATGCAAGTTTGAATTATTCAAAACAACTTCCGAAGTAATTTCAAGTCAACTTTGGAACTGACATTTTAATTTTATCTGAACTAAACAAAGTAAGTGTTGAAAAGTTTGAAATAATAAGTAAAAACTACATTTTATGAGTAAACTGAATCCTGAAAATCTCAAGTCGGTCTGTCAGGATTTCTCAAAGATGATATAACATGAAACTGGTATCAAGTAGGGAAAAACATCATAATTTTGTTTTTGAGCCTCAAATTAACTTCAAATTTGCCTTGTTTCATAAAAAGATCCTGGTTAATTAATCCTAATCTGATACTCCGAATTATTTCAGGATTTTTCAAAAGTAGTTTAACGTGAATTTTCCAATTTTTTCTAATATTAACTTGGAAAAAATTTCATAGTTTTATTTCTGAGCTTTGAATTGACTTCAGATTTGCTTTTTTTGATAGAAAGATCCTGGTTAATGAATCCTAAAAGTTTCAAGTCGATCTGATACTCCGAAATATTTTTCAGGATTTTCCAAAGGTGATTTAACGTGATTTTTTTCTGGTATTAAGTTGGAAAAAACTTCATACTTCCATTTCTGAGCTTCGAATTAACTTCAAATTTGCCTTGTTTAGTGAAAACATCCTGGTTAACGAATCCTGAAAGTTTAAAATCAATCTGTTACTTCTAAGTATTTTCAGGATTTTTCAAAGGGGATTTAAGGGGAATTTTCCAATTTTTCTGGTATTAAATTGGAAAAAACTTTATACTTTTATTTCTGAGTTTCGGATTACCTTCAAATTTGCCTTGTTCAATGGAAACATCCTAGTTAACGAATCCTGAAAGTTTAAAATCAATCTGATACTCCCAAGTATTTTCAGGATTTTTCAAAAGTGATTTAACGTGAATTTTCCAATTTTTTCTGGTATTAAGTTGGAAGAAACTTCACACCTTTCTTTCTGAGCTTCAGATTAACTTCAAATTTGCCTTGTTTGAAGAAAACATTCTGCTTAATACATCCTGAAAGTTTAAAGTCGATCTGATACTCTGAAGTATTTTTTAGGATTTTTCAAATGTGATTTAACGTGAATTTTCCAACTTTTTCTGGTATATATTAAGTTGGAAAAACCTTAATAATTAATTTCCGAGCTCCAGATTGACTTCAAATTTTTCTTGTTTGATAAAAATATCCTGGTTAACGAATCTTGAAAGTTTGAAGTCAATCTGATACTTTGAAATATTTTTCGGGATTTTTCAAAGGTAATTTAACGTGAATTTTCCAATTTTTTCTGGTATTAAGTTGAAAAAATTTCATACTTTTATTTCTGAGTTCCAGATTGACTTTAAATTTGCCTTGTTTGATAAAATGATCATGGTTAATGAATCCCAAAAGTTTCAAGTCGATCTGATACTCCGAAGTATTTTTCAAGATTTTTCAAAGGTGATTTAACGTGAATTTTCCAATCTTTTCTAATATTAACTTGGAAAAATTTTCATACTTCTATTTCTGAGCTTTGAATTGACTTCAAATTTTCTTTTTTTGATAGAAAGATCCTGGTTAATGAATCCTAAAAGTTTCAAGTCAATCTGATAGTCCGAAATATTTTTCAGGATTTTCCAAAGGTGATTTAACGTGAATTTTCCAATTTTTTCTGGTATTAAGTTGGAAAAAACTTTATACTTTTATTTCTGAGCTTCGAATTAACTTCAAATTTGCCTTGTTTAATGAAAACATCCTGGTTAACGAATTCTGAAAGTTTAAAATCAATCTGATACTCCCAAGTATTTTCAGGATTTTTCAAAGGTGATTTAACGTGAATTTTCCGATTTTTTCTGGTATTAAGTTGGAAAAAACTTCATACTTCTATTTCTGAGCTTCGAATTAACTCCAAATTTGCCTTGTTTGAAGAAAACATTCTGCTTAATACATCTTGAAAGTTTAAAATCGATCTGATACTCCGAGGTATTTTTTAGAATTTTTCAAAAGTGATTTAATGTGAATTTTCCAATTTTTTCTGGTATTAAGTTGAAAAAAACTTCATAATTTCATTTCTGAGCTTCAGATTAACTTCAAATTTGACTTGTTTGTTAAAAAGGCCTTGTTTAATGAATCCTAAAAGTTTCAAGTCGATCTGATACTTCGAAGTATTTTTTAGGATTTTTCAAAAGTGATTTAATGTGAATTTTCCAACTTTTTTTGGTATTAAGTTGGAAAAAAAACCTCATAATTTCATTTCTGAGCTTCAGATTGACTTCAAATTTTTCTTGTTTAATAAAAATATCCTGGTTAAGGAATCTTGAAAGTTTGAAGTCAATCTGATACTTCGAAATATTTTTCAGGATTTTTCAAAGGTAATTTAACGTGAATTTTCCAATTTTTTCTGGTATTGGGTTGAAAAAATTTTATACTTTTATTTCTGAGTTCCAGATTGACTTTAAATTTGCCTTGTTTGATAAAATGATCCTGGTTAATGAATCCCAAAAGTTTCGAGTCGATCTGATACTTCGAAGTATTTTTCAGGATTTTTCAAAGGTGATTTAACGTGAATTTTTCAATCTTTTCTAATATTAACTTGGAAAAAATTTCATACATTTATTTCTGAGCTTCAAATTAACTTCAAATTTAACTGTTTTGATAAAAAGATCCTGGTTAATGAATCCTAAAAGTTTCGAGTCGATCTGATACTCCGAAGTATTTTTTAGGATTTTTCAAAGGGGATTTAACGTGAATTTTCCAATTTTTTCTAATATTAACTTGGAAAAAATTTCATACATTTATTTCTGAGCTTCAGATTAACTTCAAATTTAACTGTTTTGATAAAAAGATCCTGGTTAATGAATCCTAAAAGTTTCAAGTCGATCTGATACTTCGAAGTATTTTTCAGGATTTTTCAAAGGTGATTTAACGTGAATTTTCCAATCTTTTCTAATATTAACTTGGAAAAAATTTCATACTTCTATTTCTGAGCTTTGAATTGACTTCAAATTTAACTGTTTTGATAAAAAGATCCTGGTTAATGTATCCTAAAAGTTTCAAGTCGATCTGATACTCCGAAGTATTTTTCAGGATTTTTCAAAGGTGATTTGACGTGAATTTTCCAATCTTTTCTAATATTAACTTGGAAAAAATTTCATACTTCCATTTCTGAGCTTTGAATTGACTTCAAATTTCCTTTTTTTGATAGAAACATCCTGGTTAATGAATCCTAAAAGTTTCAAGTCAACGTGATAGTCCGAAATATTTTTCAGGATTTTCCAAAGGTGATTTAACGTGAATTTTCCAATTTTTTCTGGTATTAAGTTAGAAAAAACTTCATACTTTTATTTCTGAGCTTCGAATTAACTTCAAATTTGCCTTGTTTAATGAAAACATCCTGGTTAACGAATTCTGAAAGTTTAAAATCAATCTGATACTCCCAAGTATTTTCAGGATTTTTCAAATGTGATTTAACGTGAATTTTCCAATTTTTTCTGGTATTAAGTTGGAATAAACTTCATACTTCTATTTCTGAGCTTCGAATTAACTCCAAATTTGCCTTGTTTGAAGAAAACATTCTGCTTAATACATCCTGAAAGTTTAAAGCCGATCTGATACTCCGAGGTATTTTTTAGGATTTTTCAAAAGTGATTGAATGTGAATTTTCCAACTTTTTTTTGGTATTGAGTTGGAAAAAAACCTCATAATTTCATTTCTGAGCTTCAGATTGACTTCAAATTTGCCTTCTTTGATGAAAACATTCTGGTTAATAAATTCTGGGAGTTTAAAGTCGATCTGATACTCCAGAGTATTTTTCAGGATTTTTCAAAGGTGAATTAACGTGAGTTTTCCAACTTTTTCTGGTATTAAGTTGGAAAAAACCTCATTATTTTATTTCTGAGCTTCAGATTGACTTCGAATGTACCTTGTTTGATGAAAAAATCATGGTTAATGAATCCTAGAAATTTCAAAATAATTTGAACTTCAAAGTTTTTTCAGGATTTTTCAAAATTGATTTAACGGTAATTTTTCAACTTTTTCTAGTACAGTTTAAGCTAGAAAAAACTTCATGAGTTTATTTCTAAGCCTTTAGGAAAACGTCTTTCTACGGCAACAAATCAGGCTAGCGACAACATTTTGTCAAATTAATTTGCATACTACATAAGCTTTTTCTTCTAGAATAAATACCCATTTTGAGCTAAAAAAATTTAAATCAAATCCCTCCAACAAACACTGATTGGTATAATAAAAATCGACTTTGGTTTCCATCCTATATCATGCCAAAAAAGGAGGAATCCGATCTACTCGAGGATAATATGCGGCCGGGCTTTGAAAAAGATCAGGGATAAAAGGAGGAAATTAAACGTGAAACGGGAGGAATTACAGGCACTGATACTTTTGAAGATAACTTTAAAAGGGAAATAGAGGAAGTTTGTATTTTACCCATTTATATATTTCGTATAAAATTTGATTTCCGCGATATCGCGCCCCGTGCTATAATTACATGCCAATTTACATTTAATTAATTACAAATCTATATACGTTGAAACCTGATTTGAATATTTTATAATGTCTGGTAATTAATTTGAAATGTACCATTTTCAATTGCAGGTCTCCATATTCGATAAAAAAATCTCAAAATACAAAGTGATCACTTTACCGAAAACTAAAAGATCCGACCTGGTTTATCGTTTACCGTAAGTACCCAAATATATTCTCAATCAATACAATAAATAACTATTATTAGTGTTCATTATGGTGACGGCTACGAAATCCGAGTGTCCACCACGTTTCCCGGATCCAAGGCCGTCGGACCGCTCGATTACCGGGTACCGGAACCGTTGCAGCCCTACAAACTGAAAGTGACTGTCAACCAGGAGGACGCGGCTTTTTTGATTTACTGGACCGAACCTTTTGTACCTTTAACTATCGGCCGATATTATTATCAGGTAAATTCCCTTATAATATTGAAAGTATTTTCATTTGACAGCAGCTTAGTTTTCGGGCGAAATCCTTTCCGGCAAATCCTACATGTCTTGGGTTTTCACAAACGGAGAAATTTAATCCCGGATTTTGCTTGTCGTTTGAGGTTTGAGAGGAAATTTATACGGACCAGAAGTATTTTTAGCAGAGGTTTCAAATGCTATTATTGTATTTTCATAGGTTCTAGATAGTGATGCAGAAGTCGCTCTTTAATACTACTACTTCTACCATAAGGTATCTTGTAAGTTTGGTTATTTTTGTGGTCATTTATTCAGATGTTTAATTTCTGATACTTACAGTTTCGGTGTTTTCCAGTTTAGCTGTTGTTTAACTGATAATTATCATTGGTTAACCAAAAGCTAAACTAGATAACCGTCAACTGATAAACTAGTCCTTTAGAGAAGCTGGAGAGATGATAAATAGACAGCTCACCATTTTCCGAGGAATTTGACCGCAGCTTGTTATCTCATGACTGACTTTATTAAATCAGCGCTTCAAACGGCTCGTAGACAATTAAAGAAGCCGGTGTACGTACCCAAAAAGTTTCACGATTTATCCCAGTCCAGTACCGAAAGTAAGTGAGATTACTCCACTTATACCTCTATGGCTGGTCTTAGTGCATTAGGCAGGTTAGCGGGGGGTGCATCTGCAATAGCAAGAAAATTATCAATCGAAAACTATGGAGAAAAGTGGGAAAAAACAAATTGTTCAAAGGATAGAGAGAGAATCTAAAGGAAAAGTAAAACCAGTCATGTGTCTCATTTTAAACCAACATTATATTTTTTGGGCCAATTCTACATATTTTTTTTTTGTTAATCGCTGATGCCAATGTAGCATCAAATACAGTTCGACAGGGTTTTCTATTCGGACAAAATACCAAAAACAGGGTCGCAGTTTTCATTCTCCGCTCTCAGCGGACGCAACGGACTGGAAAACCGCTTTTTGGACACCAGCCCTGTTCTATCTATTTTACACCAGAGACAATTGATTCACGCCGCGATGGGTTTTACCGTTTTTTTTTTTTAGATAATATTTTGAAAAATTGTATCGCTACATGATGACGTGTGCAAGTTTTACTCTCAAATTGAAATTTAATATTTTACTTAGGGACAATTTATAACCCTTAAAGAAATTGCCGTGTCAAGTGCCAGCTGTTGAATATAAAGAATGGAACTAACTGTACAGGGTGATCGATCGTCAATATTTATAATCAATCAAAAATTACAGACTGTAGACAGTTTGTTCCGACTCGTCCATTTCCTCTATTATTTTATTATTGTATCTCTATTTTTTTGACTCCGAAATGGGACGAATCAAGTATTTGTTGTCCACTGTTGTATGTTGTTTCATCTTCGGCTCCTTAAAATATTTCCACTTGATAATCAAACATTATAAAAAATGTAAATGATATATGCCTTTGTATGTAGTCTGGATCTGGATAGTTGCAAAGGAGGGTGAGTTATTTCACTGACACTAGGCCTTGCCTTGGGGTCCGTGTCACCTCCATTTGTTAAGGCACATTCTCCTCCCCAGGGGTCTCCCTGCCCGTTGGATAAATTGCAGGAGAATTCCAGGTGAGGTGCACTTCAACCTGGCCATAGGCCAGATGTTCCCCAGTATGGCTTGCGTTGTTGACAAATGGTTGGACAGTGACAAAGCACATGCTCAATCGTTTCGTCTGCAGCGTTGCACCATCTAAACATTGGGGTCTCAACAACACCCAAGGTGTAAAGGTGTTTATTTAGTCTACAGTTTCCTGAGTAAATTCCTACCAGTAGGCGGAGGTTTTTCCTCCACAACTGTATGTACACTATTCTCGGCTCTTTTCTTGCTGGGGAGGTCGATCATTGATCTGCCCTGCTTACAAGTGCCTAAACTGCGCCATTTTGGTGTGCTCTGAACTAGTGATTCGTTTAACCTCGGCAATGACGGTGTTAGTTGACAGAGGGATCATGGGTTGAGGTCCCATCGGGGCCTTCCCTGAAGCTGCTCTGGCAACACCGTCAGCCTCTTCATTGCCTACGTTGTTATCGTGCCCTTTGACCCAGCAGAGTTCAACGGTGTTCTTTTGTGTGAGTTCTTCTAGAGCCTCTATACACTGCATAAACAGCTTGAGTTTGTTCTAGCGCTGTCAAGGGCCGACAGCACGGATTTACTGTCCGTTAGAAATCGCACTCGTTCGCCGTCGATTTCTTGATCGATGGCTATCTTGGCTCCCTGGATGACTGCCATCAATTCCGCCTGAAAGACGGTGGTGTGGTCACCAAGCAAGCTACTTATGCGGAGGTTCAGTTCAGATGAGAAAACACCCGCTCCTGTTCCTCTACTGGTTTTCGATCCATCCGTGTATATTGAGACCGTTGGAGTAGCCTGTGCCTCACCCAACATATAGACACTGTAGGATCTTTTTGTTATCTGTGTGGGCATTGTGCGATCCACCGCCGCTCCCAGCAGGGGTGCATTCCTGCATCCTTCCGCTAGTATGCGGCAGTGTTCCTTCACCCACCTTCCGTGCTGCCACAAGCCCAACAGGTTTAATCTGCAGGCGGTCGAAAAAGCCATCTCCTCTACATACAAGTGCAGAGGTGGCAGATCCAAGACCACCTCCGTTGCTTTCGTCGGTCGGGGTGGTTCTCATAGCGCCCGTGATCCCGATACGCGCAAGTCGTTGCGTTTTATCGAGTAGGGCCCTCATTTTCACATGTCTGGGCCACAAGACAAGAGCTGCATAGCATACCATCGGACTTATGATAGCGGTGTATATCCACAGGATGATTTTGGGTATGAGGCCCCATGACCTGCCCATCGCCCTGTGGCACTGCCACATGGCCATGTTCGCTTTTTCCGTTTTTACCTCAATGTATCTTTTCCAGCTGAGCTTTTAATCAAGCACTACTCCCAGGTAATTGACCTCTGGGGTCAGCTGTAGACTGGTATTATTTAGCCTGGGTATTTGCATACCACTTAACTTTACTTTCGTGATGAAGAGGATCAACTCTGTTTTCAGTGGATTCACCGTCAAGGAGTTCTCCTCACACCAAGATGAAATTGGGTTAAGAGCGGTTTGCATTTGCATGAGATTGCATAGAACGCTGTCAATCTTGCCTGTAAGCAGAATGCGCAAGTCATCTCCGTAACCTATAGTAGGGAGTCTCGCAACATTTAAGCTATGTAGGAGGCTGTCTACCACAAAGTCCCAGAGGATCGGTGATAACACACCACCTTGTGGTGTCCCCTGTATCAATTTTCACGACCCGCCACCTTAGCATCCTCTCTATCTATCTGGTGATGGTAGGTGGAGCCCCATGTCTAGCTAGACCTTATTTGATATTATCGAAAGTTAGATTAAATTGCCAAATTTCTGACGAAACCGTACCAAGAGCCAAGGGTTATCAGTCGGTTTTCAAATAAGTGTGATGACTCTTGATCCCTGGTTGCTTGGAAAAAGTAGCCTGACTTGAAACTGATAAACTAAAAGCGTCACCAATTTCGCTAAATAAAAGACGCTTCACGTCGCACTGGATTCATTCAGTTCTGGTCACAGATTCTGGTGCTTACAATGTAAAGTCGTTCGTTATAGTTAAAAAGCAGGTGAGGTTTCAGTTTCTACATATTTCCCATTGTCAATTTATTATCTTATTTATTGTATGTTTTTTCTACTTATTGTCAAATCGTTAAACTATTTTTCTATCTTATTTCCACGTATTGTCAATTACCAACTTAATTGCTCATAAATCCTTTATTATGACTTTCAGTCATTTTGACTGCATTTTCCTATCTTTATTGTCTTGACATCTAACAAGGCCGATTTGTACTACCCTGTCGAGGATATTCTCTAGCATTAATTGTAGATTATAACGGGTCAGTTAAGTTAGCCCCCCCCCATAGAAAATTTCTGGATGAAAATTATCCCATAATTTTGCTCTCATTTTGCTGCTCCATTTTGCTCCACCATCGGCGAGTTTTGCTCCATTACCAGAAGAGACCTACAGAGCTCCCAAGAATCTCTCCCAGCCCCCCCCCCCAGTGAAAATTCTGAAATTTGATCATGCTCATTTTGTTCTCCGAGTTTTGCTCCATTTTGCTCCACTATCGGCGAGTTTTGCTCTATTACCAGGAGAGACCTACAGAGCTCCCAAGAATCTCTCCCAGCCTCCCCCCCAATAAAAATTCAGAAATTTGATCATGCTCATTTTGTTCTCCGAGTTTTGCTCCATTTTGCTCCATGATCGGCGAGTTTTGCTCCATTACCTGGAAAGACCTCAGGGTCCTTATTTTTGAAGCAGGGGTGCAGCGTTTCCATGACAACGAGTGTTCCGCCTTTGTTGAAGCCCACAGCACGGATCATGACGGACGACGTCTGAAGGAGGAGAGGAAGCCAATGCGACAGGACTCATAGCGACAGATTTTATGAACCTATCAAATCTATCAAAACGATTGAGATATACTTAATAGTCTGTTGACTAGACAAGGACAACAAATAATACGGCCATGATACTCAATGCACTTTGCACTCAAATGCTTGAAAATCAGTTACAGGTACATCAGGAAAAAGAGGCGAGGAAAATGAGAGTAGCTTCAGAGCGCCTGAGTGCTCAAAGTGTGGCACCCGAAAGCAGCTCAGGTAATGAAGCAGAACTCACCCATCATGGAGCAAAACGGAGCGAAACTCGGAGAGCAGAATGAATATGATCAAACAAAATTTTCACTGGTATGGGAGGGCTAGGAGAGATTCTTAAGAGCTCGTAGGTCATACCAGGTAATGGAGCAAAACTCGCCGATCAAGGAGCAAAATGGAGCAAAATTCGGAGAACAAAATGCGCATATAGAAACTCCAAAATTTTCACACGTGTTGCAAGGAGAGATTCCTGGGAGCTGTGACGTTCATTCCAGAGCCGCTTTCGGGTGCAGTGTGCGAAGCACCTGGAGCATTTCACGCCCATTATAATTAATGCGCTTTGCACTCGAACGCTTGAAAATCAGTTACAGGTGCATCAGGGGAAACAGGCGAGGAAAGTGAGAGCGCCAAACTCTGTTCGCTCGAATGTGTAAAATTGTAGCAGGAGTACTTCGGACTATCTCGAAAGCGCTGAGCGCTCAAAGCGTGGCATCCGAAAACGGGTCGTCATGGAGCAAAACGAGCTGATCATGGTGCAAAATGGAGCAAAACTCGGTATGAGTAATTTCAAGTTTTAAAATTTTCACTGGGGGGCAAGAAGAGATTCTTTGGAGCTCTGTAGGTCATTCCTGGTAATGGAGCAAAACTCGACGATAATGGAGCAAAACTCGGAAAACAAAGTGATGTTCAAATTTAAAAATTTTTACCGGGGGGGGGGCTAGGAGAGATTCTTCGGAGCTCTGTAGGTCATTCCTGGTAATAGAGCAAAACTCGCCGATAGTGGAGCAAAATGTACCAAAATTCGGAGAACAAAATGAGCATGATCAAATTTCAGAATTTTCACTGGGGGGGGGGGGGCTGGGAGAGATTCTTGGGAGCTCTGTAGGTCTCTTCTGGTAATGGAGCAAAACTCGCCGATAGTGGAGCAAAATGTAGTAAAATTCGGAGAACAAAATGAGCATGATCAAATTTCAGAATTTTCACTGGGGGGGGGGGGGGGGGGCTGGGAGAGATTCTTGGGAGCTGTAGGTCTCTTCTGGTAATGGAGTAAAACTCGCCGATAGTGGAGCAAAATGGAGCAAAACTCGGAGAACAAAATGAGCATGATCAAATTACAGAATTTTTACTGGGGGGGGCTGGGAGAGATTCTTGGGAGCTCTGTAGGTCTCTTCTGGTAATGGAGCAAAACTCGCCGATGGTGGAGCAAAATGGAGCAAAACTCGGAGAACAAAATAAGCATGATCAAATTTCAGAATTTTCACTGGGGGGGCTGGAAGAGATTCTTGGGAGCTCTGTAGGATCTCTTCTGGTAATGGAGCAAAACTCGCCGATGGTGGAGCAAAATGGAGCAAAACTCGGAGAACAAAATGAGCATGATCAAATTTCAGAATTTTCACCAGTGGGTGGGGGCTGGGAGAGATTCCTGGTAATGGAGCAAAACTCGCCGATAGTGGAGTAAAATGGAGCAAAACTCGGAGAACAAAATGAGCATGATCAAATTTCTGAATTTTTCCTGGGGGGGGGGGGGGGGGGGGCTAGCGTTAATTCAGCCCCCTCTCCCTCACCTAATAGGCCACATAGTCTCTCCACTGTAATATAGCAAAAATCGAAATTAGTGGAGCAAAATGAGAGCAAAATTATGGGATAATTTTCATCTAGAAATTTTCTATGTGGGGGGGCTAACTTAACTGACTCGATTATAACTAGCATAATTAATAACTTTTCATAGAACATAGCTTACTTGTACACTTATTTTCTCCATTTTTATTCTACATTCAAATTCAGTATTGTCATCTACCTTACTCTTATATTATTATAAGCCTATTCTTTTATTGTACCTTTTCCTTACTGATTTTCCATTGTCTTTAGTTGTTACCTATATTATCTATAATAAATTCCATATGAATCTTTATCGTAAGAGAATGTTTCTTTGAGTTATTCTGACAACCGATTCCTCTCAAAACAGTTAGAACCCAACTACGTACAGCTCGGATAGCAAGAACCCGGACTAATGAAGGCAACCGAATCAGTTACATAAAATTAATCTGTTGCGATTTATCAATAATTTCAGTGGGACTTTAATCATAGTTCATGCTACCGCAGTACGACAAAAGGCCTTTATTAGTCCTAAAACAAAGTCTCCTTTACTTGCCCTTCACATCCAGGTGGCGGCGGTAACACCTCTATCAACTTAACTCCTTTCCTTTTTCCTTTCTGCACTTGTAACATACAACATTACAACAACACCAAGTTAACATAATTTTTCTGAAACGAACCAAAATTGAATTCAAAGGTTTCTCAATTCTCAATCCACAGTACATATCAATCCTTAAAGATGATGCTATTGCAATTTACTTAAACTTTTCTGCTTGCAGGTCTTCGTGTACCCCGGCCAAGACCTAGAAGCCCCCTACGAAAAGTACTACGTCACTAGACCGGTGATGGTGTACAAAGGCGAAAGGGGCGAATATTCGTTTTGCGTTAATTTGGCCACCAACGACCGGAAACACGTTTCGAACGCGACAAAACCCGTCTATGCGAATTTGAATGGCGAAAGTTACGAATTGAATGCAACTTTTACTGAAACTCCCGACAGATGATGATTATTAATTTATTTAAAATATTTTATACAATTTCATAATAAAAAGTATTTTTAAATTAAAATGTCAGACTGTCTGGTGCATTACTGCAATGGGGGGACGGCAAATGATATTTGATTGAAAAGAAAAACAAATTAAAATATGCACTCTAAAAACTGGTAATATGCAAATTCGGAAAATACAAAAGGGAAAAAGTTAAAGCGAGGCTTCCATTGAAAAAGTTTTTTTCTTTATCGGTCTTAATAACTGTCGCCTAAATGGCCCGTGAAACAGCCCGAGCTGAAAATTTGACTTACAGTGGTGGAGAAGATTTTTGTTTTGAAGATAGTGAAAAATTGAAAATAATCAACTCCAACCAATTTCCAACTTTATTAAACAAAATTAGTTGGATGTCTAGTATTTGAGTTCAGAGAAAATATAAATAATTAATTAAAGTCAACCAAAACATAATAGAGTTTAATAAGAGGCGGTTTTCCCAACCGAGTCAGTGGTAACCATAATCCTTTGGCCCTAAAAGGTAGAACAGATAAGCGGCTGAACTGTCAGGGACAGGTAAGACAGAGGGCCCCTTTGACGTGATAGGCATATAACAAGGGATAATTAAATGCCTAGTTTTATTATATGGTAAAAATAGAAATATTATTAAGAGATTTTTTGTTACATTTTCATTCCATTCTCATGTAATAAAACAAAAAATATTCAGATTAATTTATTCACGAAGGGATTATCTAGTACAACTTTAGATAATTTGAATTAATAATTGGTGCATCAAAAGACAAGAGTTATTAATTACTCAATTCAAAAAGTCTGGACAATATTCACCTCTGTAACCTAAATAAACTTTGTCCTCGATGCAAATTCCCTGAATGCATTTTTGTTTAATTAGTCTCCGCCTCCCCGAGCGTCAGGCGAATTAATTTCTAATTTATTTACACTGAATTAGTATAAATTTCTCCTAGGTGTCCGGGATTAACTCGAACAAAGTTTTACTTCAATTTTTATTTCTACAAAAGAAGAATATAAAAATTGGCAGAGCGTTTCCTGTTTAAAGTGAAACTTTGCTGATACTACTACGACATGTCGATGTCGGTTCATGTTAACCGGATTCCGGCAAATTGAAAAAGTTAGCCTATAAACTTGAAGTCCGGAACATCCGGTTTCGGTCTTTAGAAATAGTTCTCTGGATTTCGGATAATATAGACTTGAAGGCAAACGACCTTCTCAAACACAAAAATGCTTTAAATGAAAAATCCATTGTAGCAAACACAAATAAGTATGACTGAAAAGACCTAGAATAATGGAGAATGTGTGTGTAACAAAAAAGAGTTTTTTCTAATACAAGCTGATAGTCAATTCCAATTAAATGTTTAGATGCACCGAGCAAATAAGCTTGGACGCCTTTCTTTAACAAAGGGCGAGTTACATTTCAGCCGTAGTAACAAAGCTAAAATGCTTTCCATTATCCATTATCCCTGGCGCTCTTTCAGAGGTGGCGTTCCGGAATCCGGACTTGAACGTAAATTCGGTCGTTGCTGAGAAATTTAGTTTGCACTACGCACTACTTACAACCAGTATTTATTACCATATAAAATTAACAAGTTGCTTTGGTTGACGGGTATAGATTGTAGATTGTGATGTGTTTAGGTTATGGACCTCTTTGCACTACATGTATTGTGTTTTCCCAAAGCCAGTCATGTTCCTGGGATTGATGATTTATGCATGAATTTACTCACTATTGTGTTACATATTTGTTGAGTCATAAGTCATATGTATTTTGTATGTTTCAAGATTTAGTTGCTGAAAGTGGGGCACATTTCAATTTACAGATTTTCAATGTATTTTGTGACAATGAAGGTGAATATCTAGCTACTGAAATGAGAGATTTTTGGTATGCAAAAAGTTAAGTCATCATTTGACAATTCCATGAACCCCACAAATTAAATGGTGCAGCTATATAAAAAAAAAAAAGTTTCTGGGGTGAGGGAGGCAGTTTTAACTGCAACATTCTCACTTAGTTTGACCCCTACTAAAACTTTAAAAGAATTTGAAACAGCATATGAAAGGTGGCGTAGTAAAAAGCCTCAAGTAAAATATTCATAAGTGTTTGGTTCCATAATACCGTTTATATACATAATAAAACCAGAAAAACTAAATTTGATATCAAATCCTTTTAAGCTATACTGGTTGGTTATGAACCAAATGAATATGAAGTGTGAGATGTGGTTAGTCATAAGGTTGTTGTAGTTAAGGATATTATTGTAGATATGACAAATTTGTTTTTGTCCTCCAAGCCTTTCAATCTGCATAAAGCTGATTCCTCTGACTATTTGTCAAGATCAGTAGTTAATAACAAGCTTGAAAAAGTGAATGTAGAACACTTTGATTATAAAGCTGATTCCTCTGACTATTTGTCAAGAACAGTAGTTAATCATAAACTTGAAAAAGTAAATGCAGAACACTTATGGTCATACAGCTGATTCCTCTGACTATTTGTCAAGATCAGTAATTACTAACAAGCTTGAAAAAGTGAATATAGAACACTTTAATTGTAAAAGCTGATTTCTCTGACTGTTTGTCAAGATCAGTAGTTACTAATAAGCTTGAAAAGTAAATGTTTAACTTTTATGGTCATAGAGCCAATTTTTCTGACTGTTTGTCAATATCAGTGGTTAGTTAATGATAAGTTTGAAAAAGTAAATGCATAACACTTTGGTGATGAAACTGATTCCATTGACAGTTTGCCAAGATTGCTGGTTAATAAATCTGATAAAGCAAAATCAGATGACCAACCAATCCAAGAAAGTAGCTAACTGTTAACCCACAAACCTATCAAACTATACAGGGTGTCCCAGAATATGTGGGCAATCTCTCGGATCCAGATAGAACTCAAAAAAATAACATGACAACTTCCTATAAAAAAAACTTCCTACGGCCCCCCCTACGAAGTTACGTGCCCCTAAAGGACGCCTCTCAAAATACTTCGTGTAATTTTTTTTTTAAATGTGATGGATACTAGGTGAGACCCCTTAAAATGAACCCTCTCAAACACACTTGACCAGTCTAGTTTGCCAGGGACGGACTAGCTTTAACGCAATAATGACACTGAGGAAATATTAGTAGAAAGGATTAATTTTCAATGTCGCGAATTAAGGGCTAATATTGAAGCATTGCCGAGAGTCGAACAATCTTTCATTAAAATTGGTATGAAATGCATAAGATTAGAAGGATCTCATGTTTAGTCGACATAAAAAATGATTTAATAAAAAACCGTTAATACACAAAAACAGATTTTTCTCGAAACCAGCTCATTTTTTTGACATCGAATAAGAATACCTTTTTTCTAGTTCAAGGTTGAAACTATCTAAAAATATTATTGCTATGCCTATATCATACAGGGTGTAAAAAAAATTAGCATAATTGTGTTAAAGTTTTTTTTTTTTTTTTACGGATATGCGCACTCGCAAGGAAATGTCCTATCACGCTCGAGAAGCGGTTAGTTAGTCCATCCCTGGCAAACTAGATTGGCCAAGTGTGTTTGAAAGGGTCCATTTTAAGGGGTCTTATCTAGTATCCGTCATATTAAAAGAAAAAAAAATTACACGAATTATTTTGAAAGTTATCAACAAAAAACCGATTTTCAGAGACGTCCTTTAGGGGCACGTAACTTCGTAGGGGGGGGCCGTAGGAATTTTTTTATATAGGAAGTTGTCATGTTATTTTTTTGTGTTCTATCTGAATCCGAGAGATTGCCCACATATTCTGAGACACCCTGTATAATGAATGATTATAGTAAATCTGTGGTTAAAACAGATCTGCCATATGATATTCATTCAGTTTCCACTATAATCACGATTCCCAAAGTAGTTAAATTAAAATCCTCCAGTGAATTGCATCCAATAAATTTGTTTTGCACTATTGACAAAATTTTGGAGAAAATAGTGTATATGCAACTTGTTGAGTTTGTAGGTAGATAGAAATAAACTATTCAGTGATTTTCAGTCAGGGTTTCGAGTAAGTCAATATTAGCAGTTAATAGTGATTATGAAAAAGTGAATGTAAAACACTTTGATGATAAAGCTGTTTCCTCTGATTGTTTGTCAAGATCAGTAATTATTAATAAACTGAACTGAACTGAACTGAAAAAGTGTCAAAAATGAATGTAACACTTTGGTAATTAGCCTATCCAAAACACGTGACTTTGACAAGCAAACAAAGGGTTTGTGTGCCTCTTGGCGGACATTTTAATTTGAGTTCGACAGCATCTTGGATAGTCTAATAAAACCTTTCCCCTGAATGTGGCAGTTTGTCAAGATCGGTGGTTTGGTTAATAAATCTGATATAGCTAAATCAGATGAGTAAAAATCCAGGAAAGTAGGTAAATGTTAACCCTAATAAACTCATTAAACTAAATAATGAGTATAGTAAATCTGTGATTAAAACAGATCTGCCAAATGATATTAGAGAGTTTTCGTTGTCTTTTAAAAACGATTCCGATAGCCGCTATTTGACAAATTTGACATTTGAGCTATCATTTATCGTTATCGTTACCGATAAGTGCCGGGAGTTTACGGACGGAAGACAAAACCATAGCGAAAACGGAAAGCATGCGTATTTCCTATGTTTTTGTTGTGGTTTGTTTTTGTTTTTAAATGTTTTTGGTTTTCGAAATAGATTCAATACTAAATTCCCTCAAAAGATCGAGAAATCGTTTCACGGATGAGGACAATATTATTTATTATTTCATGTGCAATCGAGTGATCCATCCCGAAAATCTCGCACTATTTTTTATAATTCTGTCCACATAATTTTTTAAGTACAAGCCCTGATGAAGCCCTAAACTTTTGGGCGTAACGTTGGCAAAGACTTAACAGGCCTTTTATTTTTTGACCTAACCGACGAATCACCCCCCTTCATTGGATACCGATAGGACACAAACTTCTCTTTATTATTTATTATTTTAATAGAAGAAGTATGGGCCAACAACCCATATGACGATACATCTATAATTATGCTTTTGTAGTAGCCAATTTTG